ACCCCACTCCCTCCGCCACCGCCACTATCAAGCCCAACAGGTCCGTTGTCTGATGTGTAGTGGGCGCAGTGGCTGACAGGGCCGGTGAAACCGTCTGCGCGGGCCACACCACAACCTGGCCCCCCTGACAGTACCACACACATATCAGCACTTACAAAACCAGAGCAGAATAAAGAACCACCGGCGGCTGACACTCACTAGCACTACTACTATATGCTATTTTTAATCTTAGCTGTAAACATCCCCTTTCATATGCTAAACACCAAATATATCCTCAATCGATGGTATAATTTATAGCGCCCTGTAAAATTGCACGGGCAACATTAAACGATGGCAGAAAACCAACGATGCCGTCCCGTTTCCCTGTTTAGTGCCCATTGTCCCATGCAATTTCGTAGGCAACTTCTTCCGGCTCGCTGACGCTTGACCGACTTCCAATCGCGCACATACGCGCGTTCAACTAGTCGTAGCTGCCCATATGTTACTTGAGCACGCCACCCCTCGGCTAACGCAGCATGGGCCTCTATACGCTAACCCCCCCCTCGGGCGATGCAACACATCAATCGAACACCATAATCATATAAAAGCAGCTGCCACCGCTATCTCACCCACCATCTCTCTGGTCTGACTGGACGCAATCAACACTAGCCCTGGCTTCGCCAGTTGCGACTGCTGACTGAGACAGCAATACAGGGTACTGTACACATTAAATCACTTGCTTTGGCGCCTTCTTCCTTTTACTCACAACCTGGGATTCGGCTTAATGATTGCAGTGATCCGAGAACAATCACTACTTAGACACTAAAACCTCTCCTAGTGAACGTTTTTCCTCCTTCTGACCTACGGAGATATTACTTGTGATAATTAAGAACACATTTTTCTCCATCCGTTTAAGTCTCCGGACGGCTTTTCGCTTGTCGCATGCAATTTTGCACACACTTCCCTTTCAATGTTCATTAAGTTTTCCTGATCCAAACTTGAACTTTTTGTAACCAATAGAAAGTAGACCAAAGATATTCGTCTATCCTTTTCCCAAAAAAGACTGGGAAAAATGAGGTAAACAAAAGCGAAGGAAGGGGGAGGGCGAAGGTAGTACGTACTTGAAAGGGGGAAATCGTTCGCGGAAACCACACTTGGCCATTGAGCGCTGCACTCGGCGACGAACCAGACGACCCACGTAGTTGCCGTAGGCGTTTATGCGGTCAATCAGGTCATCCAGTAGGGCCGGCCTACCCTTCAGCGGTTCAAAGTAGGGATTTGGAATACGGGAGCGCATCATTCGCCGGGCATCTGAACCGGGTTCCCATTTGCGGGCCGCATTGGCAGCCTTGCTGATAATCCGAATGATGTTCCTTGTTGCGGCCGGGAAAGACAAGAAATGGAAGAAACGATGATCTATCCACACATAAGAGCGCAGACACCGAAAAAGTATCGACTTTTAAAGACTTTTGAAATTTGAACCGTTTGTTGCACATGTACTCAGGTCTGCCGACAACTGCGGATTCTGTCTTCGAAAAACTTCCCAAAGTCTTTTTCTACGTTCCCCAAAGAACACTTTGAAGTCAGAGAACATATACAGGCAGAAAGGTGTTACTGGCAAAGACAGGGGGTCTGGAATGGATATTGTAGCTTATTAACCTTGCATCGTTGTTCAGTAAGTCAAACGCTCTATCAAAGGAGCCGCGGTCTGGTTGTCCTGTCCGTTATCATTGGTAATATTAGTTATGACATAGTGGC